TCTTTGAAAACATAATAGGTCCAGTAGGAAGCCTGACCTTTTGATTTTGCAATGCAATGTATGGACCTTCTGGCCCTTAGAGGAATAATTACATTCCTCCAAAATGAACTCTCAAGGGGTGTACAAGAGACTATCCCAAGGTGCATCTATTTGTCTCTTGATAAATTGAGAAAAGGTTCAATTGTTCTTTCTTCTACCTTATTGCATAAAATTGTTTGGAATTCTGTCCAGACTTGTGGACACCTTTGTGCTACATATATATGCACATAGACCTATAATTATTACTAGTAAAGAGTTTCCCATTTCTCTTTAACTAAATAAATAGTCTGTCTCATTTGAGCCTACTTATTTAACCTACCCCAGTATAGTCATTAGGGTTTTATTTTACAAAAGATCAAATAAATCTGAGATTCTAACCCTTGTTTAGAATCAATATGCATATTTTCTTAATTGTAAAACTTGTATCCTAAACAAATTTCAGAATCCTTCATTAGCATTGTGTGAGACAAGCAAAAACAAAACCAAAAAAACTACCAATGTATATATTTCAACACATCCCCAGAATTCTGTTATTAAAGAGAATTGATGAGGCAGTCAGCCAGAATATTTAAGCTGTCCTAAATTACTGCTTCCTCTGTGTTTAGGGAGTCTGTTCCTGGTCTTGTAAGTCCAAAACCAGAATGTTACCAATCCACATAAAAGTGATCAGGATCTAGAGACTTGATTTATGCCATGCAGATTCACAGGGCATTTGTTTATAAAATTTGTGCTAAAAGATTACTTGTGAACTAGGGCCAATCTCTTAATTATGAATAGGGAAACCCAGAAGATAAATTTGCGTTCAAAGGCTGCTTGATGGAAACAGAAACACACAAAAGGTGCCCTTACAGGGAAAAAGTTAAGGTGTTACCACAAAGGTATACATGAAAATGACCAGTAATTTTATATTTCAAATAAGAATTATACAGAGTTTAGGTTTAAAACTTAACTATGATATAGACACATTCTCAAATTAATGAATTTTACTGAGATTTTCATATAGAACTTATTGATATTTAATGTAAAATAATAAATATTAAGATTCTTGGCTGTACATTATAAAATGTGTCACAGAGCCATTTATTTATGCAAAGGAACCTTTTTGGCTCATGTAAGTTAAAAGTCTTGGAGTCACATCTTCAGGCATTGCTGGATCCAGGTACTGAAATGATGTTATCAGGCCCAAAATGTTTCTTTATTGCTTGATTCTGCTTTCCTGAGTTGGTATCACCCAGGAGACTCTGTCTACATGCTCCATGGCAGCTCCAGGCTTGCACATACTTAGTATTAAGCTTTTTCTCCTCTTCTTTAATATAAAGGAAATTCAGCTAGATGATCTTTACCTTTCAGTTCAAAGTTCTGTGATATATAAATAACTCGAAATAACTGCTAACAGTTAATGAAACATCTCCTGATTCAGTAAAGGTAATGGTTAGTTACAATTAAGTACTGCATATTAAAAGTTCATTAAAGGTTTATTCTTATCATTATATCAAATTTGCCCTCTGCATTTTCAGTAACTCTTTATGAGTGATACAAAGCAAAACTACAACCTAGCCCAAGTTGAAGCATCACGAATTTAAAGTCAATTGCTACCAAATTACAGAGATTTTAATGTAATTTAGATACTAATATTAGTGTACATGTGAAAAGTGTTTGCTAAGGGGAAATTTTGCCCATTAATTGCCAATCAAAAGTCAAGATTTGGAAACCTCCTTTATTATAAGAAACAAGTAGAAACTAGGATGGGAAAATAACATTAGCAATTCCAATACTCAGTTTGTTCCATTAAAATGTTGATTGCCTTGGGAATAGAGTCTGTTACAGGAGAAAAAAAGCGTAAACTCAAACACTTAAGGAATAAACTACTATAAAGTACATTGTGCTTTATCAATTAAATTTGAATTCCACAGAATGAAATATAAGTTAACAAATATGACAGTTTGTTTAATTATATAAGAATCATTAATAATTTGATAATTAAATGGTCCTGAATGATTAGCCATGTTCTCTGTATTTAAATAAGCAGTATAAACATAAACGAAAATATTAAAGTAATTTCAACTTGATAGAGGCCACTTATTTTTAGTTTGGGTAGAGTTCTAACCTAATGGTAGTAAGATTACAGACCCTAAAGATGTCATGTGAATACTGCTCTGAAAAACCAAAATTAAAGCTTTCTCAAAGACGCTATGTAGTGCTGAGAGGTTTTTCACTTGTACCATTGAGAGCTGCACCATTAATAGTCTTCAGGTTTAGAAAGTTCTGCTTCTAGAGAGCACCAGAGCAGCTGCTTATGATCATTTCATGATTCTGAAACTATTTCTCCCTCCAATGACTGTACAAAACTAATATAATGTGCACTTGGATACCTAATCCTTCATGGCTACTGCACAATGCTTAGACTGTTTATGCTTGGAAGTCAGAAAAACATGTGGCCTGAAAGGCATTAAGATCCATGGGGTCACTTAAAGCTATTGATTATATTTTCCTTACTTATCTGTTGGCACTTAGGGAAGGCATTTCCAGATAATTGTCTTCGGTATGGCTGGTCATTCGTTTTCTAATCTGTAATATAGATACTGCTGTCAAGCTAAAATATCCAGTCCTTTGTGAAGCTTTGTCTCTTCTCACTTGCCCGAAGCTATGAGCAAAATGCCTACATTGACAATAACACAATTATTACAATTAAATTGCTCTATCAACCCATTCACCACTCAGTCCAGCCTAGTGTTGCTATTAAACTCTCTCTAGCTGTCTCTCCTATATGCTCTCGTATCACCCGATACATATCTTCACTATGTCAGTATTTACTTGCTGAGGAGATGGCCTTACCCTACACTTGAATTTCTTAAAGCCTGTCTTAAAGACTATTATCTTGTAAGTCTTTGGTTAGATCTAAGTTCCCAGCACTTAGCAGTGTCTGGCATTTGGTGCCTCTCATTGTTGAACAGGTTGTTGCAAAATTAGCTGTTTTCCTTCCTTGGCATGAACCTTAAAGGTTAGAATCACCATTTAAAAATTTCCTTTCCATAAATGTATATATATCTTTTGAAATCTATACTTCCAGCCTTTATCATGCATGAAAATCTGACCTGAAAATGTATCATTTCAGTTTAATCACTGCAATAGCTTCCTATCTTGAAATAATCTGCCTGTTTCTCCTTCAGGCTACCAGTTTTGTTCAAAGCATCCAAATTAATGTTCTTTTTAACACAACTTACATTTTTAATCCCATAAAAACAACTTGCTGCTCTAAGAATAAAATATTAACTTTACACTAGTAATGAAGGCCATCCTTTCCCTTCTTTTCTCATTAATTTTCTATGAAAAATGTATTGAGTCGGGGGTCCCCAAGATCATCCTGAGGTTCGATGATACATTTGGAATCATAAGACTCAGAAAAGCTGCTATGTTCCCAGTTATAGTTTATTCTAGTAAAAGGATACAGATTAAAATCAGTAAATGGAAAAGGTGCAAGGTGACAATCAGGAGAAATGAAGCACAAACTTCCTCTCCTAGTGGAGCTGCACAGACAGCACCTAACTCCGCAACAGTGTCTGCCAACACATGCAAAGTATTGCTAACAAGAGATAGGGTTCAGGGTTCAGTCACATAAATATTCATCTCCCTCATAACTGACCTTAGCTACTGAATCTCCAGTTTCCCAGAGCTTAAACTGGTGACAACACAGCCCATGGTCTAAGGCATACAAAAGCACTCTTCAAAGGTAAGATATCCCAAGGACTCAAGAGGTTTTCTTCCAGGAACTGGTGGACAGGTCCTTTGTTTGGAATATAAAGGATTTGAGTGTTTACTGTATGGAGAGGTCAGCCTACTCATTATTCAACCACATCTTACTCATTCATGCCTTCCTGTCTGCCAATTTGAAGTTTTCCCAACCATCTTTGGAAATCCATACTATCCTTAAGGTCCAGCACAAGTCATCCATTTCCATGAAGATTCTCCTCCAAGCTCGCCCACATCACTATGCATAGAAGCATTTGCATCCTTGCCATGCATGGGACACTTTTACATATTGCCTTCAAACACTACTTTACTGGGCATGTCATCTCTGTTATTGCTGTCATGAAGTAAATACTCAGGAAATGAAGGATTACTAATGAGTTGCTAAGGTTTATTCTTCTTTCTTTAATGTAGAATTTTATTTGACCTAAATTATCCTTCCAATCTTCATAGAATATTTGGTTTTAATATACAAAATTAAATATGCAAGCTCTTACCCATTCTTCATTTCAGATCTCTGGCATATTCCCATTTCCCATTTATCTTTTCACACTAAAGAAATCTAATCTTTTTATAATTTAATCACTTGGACTTTGGTTGCTCCTTTCTGTACTTTCTCTGCCTCGTGTTATTTTTTTTTAATTGATCAAATTTTAAACAATGTGATAAAAACATTACCTTTGCACAAGGGAAACATACTTTCGTTTCCAATAAATTTCTAGGTCTGTCCAAAATTTTCGGGTTTTTTTTCACCAAAATTATCAGGGAATGCTATTAATTACTTCTTAGTACTTTCTTTAGGCCAAAATAAATAATCTGGAGTCCATCATTCAATATCAGGATAATTCTTAGCTATAATTAACGATGACAAATTAATGTTCTAGGGAATGCTAACTGCTTATTTTAATCTTGGCAGTACAAGGAGGCAGGTACTCATTTTCATACCAAGACATGAGAAGATTAATATGCTAAACTCTACAAACTAAGTCTGGAGCCTGTGCCTTTCATTGCTATGCTGTACTGGATTAGCCCAAGACTCTAATTTACAATTTGCTTTTAAAACTCATACCTCCTGTTAGTGTGAATTGAATTGTCTCGTAATTGGCAGAAGCACAATTACAATAAATCGTATCCAAGTCAGATTGAGAGAGCTAAATACTTTTACAAATAAAATTTTTAATTTTAACATTAAAAAAAATAACTTTTAACTATCATTGTGATGACTTCCAGGTCATTTATTTTAAAATGTTATATAAGCCACAATACAGCATTTTCTGGCAACTTGTATCGGTTAATGAGTTTTCTAGAGTATGATTTATTATAATCATTTTCTTGATAAGGCACATCAGATGAAACATAAGATAGCTTATGCATATTTTAATATATCAAACAGAAATACATTAGTTTCTTGCCTGTTCCCCACCCCAACACACACCAGTTTTTAATACATGACACAATGTATTGTGTCCCCTGGAGATGTCTCCCACCCATCCTGACTCCCGGATTCTTCTTATTTCAAATGTAATAACAATTTGGTACCATTCTAATATGGCATTTGTAAAGCTAGTACATATGGAAAAGAAAAAAAAAACATAAAAGCAAAATGTTTACAGTATAACTGAACATTACCCTAAAAAGAGAGAAGGACTATCATATCATTGAAGGGACATTGATGGGACTTTGTTGTAGCAATGCTTGATCTGTGCCACTTCTGACAAGTAATACTCTGTAAAATAAAAGGACTTAAAAAAAAGAAATATAAAAAAATAAGGAAGTAAAAAGGCATAACAAAAACTAACACAAAAACTGGATTAAAAAAAATTAATGTCAAAACCAAGAGGTCTGAAAGATACCATGTAAGAATGATTCTCAGCTCCTTCATTCCCCAAATGATGCCACTAGGAAGCAGATGGCATACTGTTAACTAAGGAAAGAGAACTCTGCTGGTGAAGTGCTATTTTGCCTTTATCCTTAGAATTATGCAACTTACACACTTAGCAATCTTAAAACAAACAAAGATGGGGAAAATGATTGATATGAATTACATTCATTTTAAGAAGACCATTTCTAGTTGTTTTGAATGAATCCAGAACCCATAAATAATATCCTAGAATACTGAAAGAATCTGATGAAGTAACACATGCCCTTGGACAGTAAATCTGAGTCAAAATGATTTGGTTGAGGTAGATACAGACACAAACATCACAAGGACAAGAATACTATTCCCTGGCTTATCCACAGTTTTGAGCACAGTGCCTGGTGGGTATTAACAGCTTGATAAATGTCCCTGACAAGATTCCAAAATCTGTTTTTTTGAAGTATGTGGACATGTAGAAAAGAAAGCAATGGTCACTAGAAGGCAGCAATGATTCACAAAGACTAACCCCACGTCTCATAGTTTCCCGCTATACAGAGGAATGAAGATTACATCAAAGCATCTGATCAAATTTTACATCAATAATCCCTATAAACAGGATGGAGCATAAGTACTAGCATCTTATAATTAAACGAATTTGTCACAGGTTTAATGAGAGCACTATGCTATTTAATAAGTATCAATCTAAATGGAGGTAGCTTTACCTTGTCAACGTTTTTTTCAGTATTACTTGAAGACAGAAAGCAATTTTTATCAAATTTGCTCATGACTTAAAACTGAGATTCACAGCTCAAGCTTATTTTAGGCCCAAAATAAGTAAAACTAAATTTAAAATAAGTAAATCTATGAAATAAGGTAATGACTATACAAGTACAGAATGGAGAGGTTCCTCTTTTCATGTGAAAGATCTAGGTTTACACTTTCAAACTCCTTGAATCAAGAGTGTAAGATGACATAGAAACAAATTTTATTATACATTTGTTAAAATAGTGTAAACTTATACTTTCCACATAATCTGAACTCTTCATAACTTATATATCCCTTCTCTTGTAGAGATATGGTAGTCAGTGGGACACTCTTAAAAAGCTAAGCTGACAAGACCTATATTTTAACTTTTATACAATGGCCTTTGAATACTTAGAATAGTATTAAAAAGCTATTTACCATTATGTCCTCAAAATCATACCGAGTGTCTAAAATGAAGTCTAATGTTACTTTTTGCAACTCAAGAAGATAGATGTTATTATCCTTATTTTGAATAAGATTCTGTGTTTGAATTCAATTCTGTGGGGTTAGAGACTCATCCCAGCATATAATTGTTAGGTCTTTTAATAATTCCATGCTTTCCTTTGCTGTTTAGTGACTATTCCTTTTTGCTTCATTACAGAGCTGCTGAACCACATCAATGAGTAGGGCCCAAGAATATTATTAAGGCACCTCAGGTAATTATAATGAAAATGGCCTACAATGTGGCTTTGGGAACTGCATTAGACCATCTATCGTCAGGCTTCTGATGGATGCTTGACAGATTTTGAGACTATACTTTCTGGTAACAGGCAGTATTGTATAGAGTTGAAAGACCTAGTTGAATTTGAGTCCTGTTACTTACTAGTGCTACCTCTTATAAGGTACTTGACCCTGCTGAGCCTCAATTTTCCCATATAAAAAATGGTCATTGTAAGCACTCAGCATCAGGCCTGGCACATGACATGCACTCAATAAATGCTACTTACCAATTTTGAAGATGAAGGCCCAGAACATACTGTAGTGTTTGACCCTGCTGAGCCTCAATTTTCCCATATAAAAAATGATCATTGTAAGCACTCAGCATCAGGCCTGGCACATGATATGCACTCAATAAATACTACTTACTAATTTTGAAGATGAAGGCCCAGAATAAGTGTTAAGTGTTGCTTTGCAATCCTGGCTACTAAACAGTCTGGTTCACATGCCATATAAAGTTACCTTACTTTCTCATTCACATGATGAATACTAGGTTTACATGGCTGAGAAAAATGTTAACACTGTTATTCTGTATTTGCGTTAAATACCATTTAAAAATTGTTTTTATCATACTTATCTTACATTATTAGCTTAAAAATTCAGAAGGGTGTTATAAAGGTATTACACAGGATATTTAAGCAAATATTAGTAAAACTTTCTCTCTTGCTCTTCTGTGATCAAGATTTGCAATATTTAAGCCCAAACTGTCAGCATGTGACACCAAGTTATCAAAGAGCTTTATTTTAGATAGTAACTTGTGGTTAAAAAGAAAAATAAAAAGTCCTTTTTGCAGTTAATTGCCCTTTCCAAATAACTTTAATGAAAATATCTTGCCAAGAAACATCTCTTTGATTCATTAAGCTGGGTTTAGATTGTGTTCCAGTCACAAAGCACAGAGGTAATTACAGATTGAAATTGATTTGAGCCTCTTTATAAATAAGAACTGATTATAGAATAAATGTTGCATTAAATATAAAATCTTGTCACTGTATATTAATTATGTTACTACTCATGGTTGTGGCTCCCCTACAATTCTCAGGCAAAAATAAATCCAATATAAATTGGCTGTGAGCATAAAAAGTCTACCAAGTACATGTATCCAGGAATAAAGAATTACATAGATCATCTGGCCTATTACCATTCACATCCTTCACAACTATTCATGAAAACATTAATTCACATTTTGGGAATGCTTTTTCCAACATCAACAGGAAAACATAGCTTTATAAAGTGTTTCAGATTTCAAGAATACGTCACATTAGAAACCCATTATCACGAGGGACAAGACTGGTTTTTATTTACTTGTTTATGTGTAATTTGTCTTGATATGTCAAGTATTTTGAGAAAAGATCTGACTCTGGACTTCATTTGTACTGTTAGAATGCATTTTTTCTTGGCAACTGATTGATGTGTATTCTTATTTGATTTTTGGAATTATTTTACCAATTAAAAATGCCATATACTAAAATAAAATATTTCATTCACAGTCCCTACTTAAATTTGCCTGTTTGCCTTACCCACTTGCATCATTTCATTACTAAATTGATTATAAAACATTATACTACAAATGCCAAGTATTTATAAATAGTCAGTATTAGCTAACTTCATCAACCAAGTAATTCTAGGGATAGTGCTTCTCCCTTTACAAGGCTGATTTTGAGTGAGGATATTTTAAACTGCACATTTAAGTCACATTTACATAAAATCAGGTTTATGGAACTAATGAATCATGAAAAATTTCTGACAATGACTATCACTACTTCAATATAAACGAGTTTATTTACTCACATTTATAAATAACTCTAATACTAGAAATTCTCCAATTCTTAAAAAATTAAAAACTTAAGACTACAAATAATCAATTTTATTCAGATAATATACTGTCCATAAAATTCAACATTAATGTGTTCATAGTACTTTCATACCTAACCAATTGGGTATCAAGAGACTTTACCAATCATCTCTGTCAATTCTACTATTCCTGATCATAATATTCAAGTTCGAATTTTGGCCCAACTATTAAAACCTTGTCAGCATTTTAGCTTTTCTCAAGCAAACACATTTGTACGTACCCAACCTCAGTGCTAGGGAGCAACTTTTAGAAGCACTAGCAAACCACCACCAGTGGAATCAGATAAATGTTGTTGGTTGAAATAACTCCTGAAAAGATTTACCTTACAGTGACTTTCCTAAATATCAGGGAAAGAAAACACATATATCCTGTACTACTACTGCTATTTCAATGCCTGATTTATGTAGCACAAAAATTTCTCTTTTCCAGTAGTTTCTATAAATACTAAAATATCAAAAAGTACTACTTTTTTCTAGAAGTTTTCAAAATGACCATTATATTTTCACACTATTTAATAAAAGAAACCAAACTACCAAACTTATGATTTAGGCAAAATTTTTTTTTCAATAAAATGCAGAAATATTTTAATTTACATATTATAATAAATCGATAAGGAGTCAAAATCCAGTTACACATTCATAAAAATTCCATACATCATTCTCAGAAGAATCAGTTTCTGTACAAAGATTTATAGATGTCCAAGTATGTAGTTTTTCCTCAGTGTGCTACAGAATTTAAAGGTTCTGCTCGAATATTCCCCAAATCAAGTGCAGAATCTGTTTCTTCATCAATTTCTCCAATGACTGCACTAAAAAAGTCAGAGTTAAAACAATCACATTTCTGAAATAAATTTACATGTGTTTCAAAAATCTTACTAATCAAAGCACTGAGTACCACTAATTAAGGTACAAAGCAAACAACATTGGCATGAGTCAGTGAACTGCACATTTAAGTCACAAAATTCAAGAAATAAATTAAAGGAACATTATTACAGGAACCAATATTAAAGGACATGTTGTACATAGTGATTGGATCATGAATCTTTAAAGGAAAAAGACACACAGGGATAGATATAGTACAAAACCCCCAAACTTCCAAATCCTATGATTTCAATTCAATTCTAGGACTATAGTAAAAAAATAATAATAATAATAATAATTAGCAAGTAAAAGTATCTATTATTTGAGTAACTTTTGACGAATTAAACCAATGATAACCAATGATATATATTAGGTTATTTTCATAAGTTTTTAATTAAATCCAAAGCCAAAATGTACAATTCTTCATGTATAAAAACAATAGTGGGAACAAGTACTTTAGTACTTAACAAATCACTTTTTAAGTGGCTGGCTAGGTTAAAGCTAGAAAATTTTTCCTTGTTCAACACTAACATAATATCTATAACATGAAATTCATTAATACCATGCTAGCTAATCAACTCATGGCGCTCTAAATGGAAATATTCAATGTTATCATACAACAAGATGTCTATGAAATATTATTTTTAAAAAAGCATTTGTTGGGTTTACATTTGTTTGGTTTTAATGAGAGTAAGTTCTTTTTTTTTTGAGATAAGAGTTTTGCTCTTGACACACAGGCTGGAGTACAGTGCCGCCATCTCAGCTCACTCAAACCTCTGCCTCTCAGGTTCAAGGGATTCTAATGCTTAAGCCTCCTGAGTAGCTGGGGTAGCTGGGTTTACAGGGGCGTACCACCACACGCAGCTAATTTTTTGTATTTTAGTAGAGACAGGGTTTCACCATTTTGGGTAGGCTGGTCTCGAACTCCTGACCTCCGGTACGCCACCAAGCTTGGCCTCCCAAAGTACTGGGACTGAGCCACTGTGCGCGGTCAAATTCTAAAGACGAATACTTGTAATAAGAAATTTGCCCAATTTTGCTTTAAACTACATAAAGTCTTCTCTAACAAATGAAAAATACCAACTCTAGCAGAATAAATTAAGTTTTCTCAAACTAAAGGTCTCAATTCCACTCTTAAATATTGAGTATCACTTAAAATCCCTATGGTAAGCAGTGGAATGATAACAAATGTTTAAAAACTAGCTCTCTGCAGGAGCCTGATTTGCAGCATTTGCTAATATTGTACAAACACTCCCACCTGGCCAATTTCGAGCTACTAACAAGACATCAATCAACTAGCTTGAAAAATTCCTTAAAATATAACAATCTGCTTTCATAAGACAGTACAAGCTGGCTCCAGCACACCATTTTCACTGAAGTTCAGGAAAAAAAAATTGTTTTACGTAAGAGAAACCTTAAAATCAATTAGTGCACAGCCCCAATATAAACAATGTTGTTCTGATCCATAGATGGGGGCCCTATCTGCCCTGCCTCTCTCTCATTACTTACAGCTCACCTTGTAACTTCACCCAAGTCATCTCTATAAAATATTTTAATAACTCTTGATTTTAATTACAGATCAAAATATTTATTCACCTAAAGGTGATGTTAACATAAGCAACTTAAATGAGTAAATTATTCCTTCACTCTTTATTTTATTTAAGTTATTCTAGGGGACTTCTCTGTCCCCTAGAATAGCCTTAAATTTGCTTAATGTATCCTAGCTTAAAATTGCTAATGTATCTTTTGCTTCTTTACAACTATATTTTGATTCAATGTAGTACTCACTAGAAAATTCATCCCATGTTCTTCTAGCCTCTATAACCATACTAATATTGTCCACATGTACCTATTACAAGTAAAGCCAGACGCAGTGGCTTATGCCTATAATCCCAGCACTTTGGGAGGCCAAAGCAGGTGGATCAGGAGGTTAGTTCAAGACCAGCCTGACCAACATGCTGAAACCCCGTCTCTACTAAAAATACAAAAAACTTAGCCAGGCGTGGTGGCCTGTGCCTGTAATCCTAGCTATTCAGGAGGCTGAGGCAGGAGAATCACTTGAACCCAGGAAGTGGCAGTTGCAGTAAGCCAAGATTGTGACACTGCACTCCAGCCTGGGCAACAAGAGCAAAACTATGTCTCAAAAAAAAATTATTTACAATTAAATGTAATTTAAAATCAGTTCCTCTGTCACATCAGTCACTTTTCTTTTTTTTCCCCTGCTGAGATGGGGTTTTGCTTTTTTTTGCCCAGGCTGGGGTGCAACAGCGCAACCTTGGCTCACTGCAATCTCCATATTCTGGGTTCAAGCAATCCTCCTGCCTCAGCCTCCCGAGTAGCTGGGATTACAGGTATCACCACCATGCTCGGCTAATTTTTGTATTTTTAGTAGAAACAGGGTTTCACCATATTGGCCAGGCTGGTCTCAAACTTCTGACCTCAGGTGATCTTCCCGCCTCGGCCTCTCAAAGTACTGGGATTACAGGTGTAAGCCACTGCACCTGGCCCACATCTGCCACTTTTCAAATATTCAACACCCATACGTGGCTAGGACTACTGTACTGGAAAATGCAGATATGACATTTCCATAATCATAAAAAGTTCTTTTGGACAACAGTGCTCTATACTGTTATAGGCTTTTCTTAAATCGCTACCTTTAAATTACTCTTAAACTTTTTTTTTTTGAGAAGAAGCGTTGCTCTGCTGCCCAAGCTGGAATGGAGTGGTGCAGTCTTGGCTCACTACAACCTCTGCCTGCTGGGTCCTAGCGATTCTTCTGCCTCAGCCTCCAAAGTAGCTGGGATTACAGGCTTGCGCCACCACGCCTGGCTAATTTTTGTATTTTTAGTAGAGACATGTTGCCCAGGCTAGTCTCAAACTCCTGACCTTAAGTGATCCACCCGCCTCAGCCTCCCAAACTGCTGGGATTACAAGCATGAGTCATCAAACTCAGCATTTTTTTTCTTTTTGAGAGAACGTCTCGCCCTGTCACCCAGGTTGGAGTGCAGTGGTACAGTCTCGGCTCACTGCAACCTCCACCTCCCGGGTTCAAGTGATTCTCCCACCTCAGCCTTCTGAGTAGCTGGGACTACAGGTACACACCACCAGGCCTGGCTAATTTTTATATTTTTACTAGAGACAGGGTTTCACCATGTTGGCCAGGCTGGTCAGGTCAAACTCCTGACCTCAGGTGATTTGCCTGCTTTGTCCTCCCAAAGTGCTGGGATTACAGACATGAGCCACCACGCCCAGCCAACTACTCTTAAACTTTTATAACTGCCTGTCCCAAGTAAACTGAGGCCACAGAGACATCTTAAGTGTGTCAAGTATACTAAAAAATTAAAAGAAAATGAATAATGGGTAAGTACTTGTTTATAAATACACCTATATGACTGAGCATGAATTAATATTGTTCAAATGAGAGATTTCATAAACATTTTTCAAACTTTTGCCTTGGACTCTAGAAATATATTCCTCTAAAACTCTGGGTATTTTTAAGAACATTTTAAGAAACCTCTTTAATGAAGTATTTAACATAAGGCAGGGCCCTTTCTGGACTCTATCCAGGCTACTTAGTTAACTCATAGAAAAATGGACAAATCTCAGGTAAATGCTTGACTTGTAAAGAGATAGCTTTGGTTGAAACCTGAAGAAATGCTGACATAAAATGTATAGATTTGCCTTACTTTACGCAAATATAAGAAAAGCCATATTTATAAAAGAAATGAATGCAAGATTCTATTAACTACGTATGGATAATACAGTAGACTATTCTGGGTAAAACCTCTTTTCCGTAAAGCAAGGGAGTATCATTTATAATTTTAACAGATATATTTTACTTACACATTGTCACCTCTTACAATGTATAATCCTAGCACTACTTGCTCTACTCCCTGTGAAGAGCTGAATACTCGTTCATGGCTTTCATCCAAAATCAAATTAATGGTCTGGTCAAAACCTTTTAGTGTTCCCTGTAAAGAAAATATTCAGGAGAAAAAGAGAAATTTCTGGTTTACCTGAAAGTGTAAATTCAACCTCACAATCATTTTAGTTATCAGGTACTCTAATACAAGTACCTATACTATGTTAAATAAAATGCCTTTTTTATAACCAACAGTATTCAAGGGTACAAAATTGACCTCTTGGCTGTTTGGTTGGGGTGGAGGGACCTGCACCACACATCTCACTCATTTGCAGAGCTGATGACAGTTACAAAGGATACCTATGTACTAGTGTATTTCCAAGTAAGTAGCATAAAAGCTCATGTAGTCCAACAGCCAAAGGTATATACTAAAACAAAGGAGATTTAAAATAAAATGGTAGGTAACTATATACAAATAAGGAAGAATCTTACATACCAACTACAGTAATGTAACAGTATCACTGTATGCTACATACTAGCACTAGGTAGTGTGCTAAACACATTGTACATATTATCTCAACTCATCTCTACCATTTAATACTATAATTAGCCCCATTTCAAAGAAGAAACTGAGGCACAGAGTGGTGTCTCTTATGGTCACATGGGCATTTTGCACATAACTATCCCATCAAATAAACTGTGTCAAAGAAATAAAGAACTATTGAACTTTAGAACTTAAGATGCTCTTTTTATATTGCTTTCCTTTTTGAAAATTAAAAATGATTTCCCAGTTTATTATCTGCTCTGTTAACAAAAATTAGAAAATTTAAACTTAAGGTTTTCACAAAATTAAAAGAATTGAAAATATCTATTAATAGCAATAGGCTTCTTGAAGTGTTGAGATTATAATATGTCAAACTGTCCATATTTGAAAAAAATACAATGTGAAGCACCTAAGAAAACATGATTGCTTCTTTAAGAAAGAAGCCAGGCAATCTGCCTTGGCTTTGATGTCAAACAAAATTTAAATCCCAGTTCAGTTCTGTCACCTGCTATCCTTGTGACTCTGGGAAAGTGCCTCACCTTCTCCGAGCTTGTTTCCTAATCTAGAATAGAGGGGTACTTATTCTTCACAAGGTTGTGCTGTACATTAAATAATGTAGCACATATGCACCTGGCACATGATATAAATTTAGTAAATGGCAAAGCCAGAACTTTGACTATTAACAGTCACTAAGGACCCACTGGGGGAAAAAAAAATCACAAGGCTTAAAAAGAAAATGAACAAAAACAAAATTGCAGAATGGAAAAATACGGGATTAAATTATTTAAGAAACTAGGTAAGGTTAGAAAACAGAGAAAGTTTAGTAGCCTTAAAATTCTTTCAAAAGAATTAAGAGTATTAATTGTAAGTGAAGAAATAAGCAAGTACCCAAATATCTTAAGATAAATTCCTCAGATGAAATTCCAAATACAAGTATTGCCATAGGAACGTTTTATCTTTGTTATAGGACATAAATTAGCAAGGGAGAAACAACTTTAAGGAACAAGCCAATTTTACATATATATATGTGTGTATAGAGTCAATCATCATGTGTCCTATAGAAGACATGTCATACAACCTAAAAACAAAAAATATTAAGACTGCATACAAGCCTTAAACGTTGATATATAGATATCAATAGTATGTAAATCACAAAAAAGTTCCTAAGCATATGCAAAATTTCAAAAAATTCTGATTCATGTAGTACTGAATGGGGAAGAAATAAAAATGGAAGAGGAAGATAAGTAAGTTTAATACAGGTCTGCAGACTAGGAGCTCTCTGAGGGCAGAATCTATTATTCTAGTTCCTGGAAGCCTTGTAGGTAAGACACAATATGTATTACTAAGGAAAATGTGGATTGACGGCAAAGTGATAAAGAGTTAAATTATAATAAAACTGCACTACAGGTGTAATGTGGTGTCTAAGCATTAGAGATCAGAGGTTTCACATAAAACCTGCAACCAATAAACGTACAGGAAAGCAGAGAATGAAAATTCCGAAGACTTACCACAATCATTCTCCCATCAGACGTAATAACAGCAACAGTTCCTGATAACTTAATCAAGGAAAGGGTTTCTTAGGGAATACAATCTGAAAACAGACTCTGGCAAGGTAATGATTTGAATTATTAGGAGACATACGACAATTAGGTAAAAGTGATCAACATAGTCACTAAGTTCACTACATAAAAACGTTACAAGTTTTTGGGACGCCAAAAACTCACTTGAGGGGAGACTAAATTGGGCAATACAGTGAGACCACCCCGCCCCCCTCCGTTGCTGGGCAACAGAGCAAGATTCTCGACTCAAAGAAAAAAAAAAATCTTAAAAAGCTACTGTTTTATCTTTGTGATAATTACATGATTAAAGAGAAAAAATAGAAAAAGAAAACCTCTTTACGTACGTGATCAGTGCATCCTATCTCAAAATATCCTGGGTTTTTGACACTTTTCTATCAGGAATGTCGCCAGTCTTTGATTTTTGGTCAGGATATTTCGTTTCTTAGGCCTATTTCGTCATTTCTAAAATGAAAATTGGATGACTACTAAATTAATCGATGTTGGACTATTTTCAAGCATGTTAAAAAACTGTCTTCCAGGACAGTCTTCTGTAATTTAAAAAAAAAAAAAAACTATATAATCAGTGTCACAAGGTAACAATAATGCCCACATGATTAAAAGCATTCGGTATTTAATTTGTCATCCAGTTTGTACATGAGCATAATGTCGTGTTTTTGTCCTGAGACTTTAAAACGGTAACATCTGCAAAGTCTATTTTAAGATTTCCCATGTGGTTTTTTGTTACTTACTGCTCACTACAATCCAATACAACAGCAAGCATTATTTTCATTCTACCAAGAAGTTGAGACTTCAAGTGGTAAAGGGACAGAAACCTGGTCTGTGAACCATCGTTAAACTTTTTGCTATCCTCAAACTAATGAGCAAATTATATGAATAAAACAAGACAAAGATTTTTTAAAACTGCTGTCGCCGCCCGGACGACTGTTCATCTTATTTACAAACCTGAACACATAAGTCCTACGGAAATAGTAAAGAAGAATCAAGGACGTATTTTTTTTTAAGAGAGAAAAGTTCGGAATAATCACACTGGGTTTTTATCCGGCTTTTGCAGGCGGAAAGGAAAGGACCCCCGGGCCCGCAGCAGCTGCAGGCTCCAGCAGCTGCAGGCTCCAGCAGCCGCCAGGGAACTATGGGTCGTTCCGGGGTCTCATCCCCTCGCCCGCCCCCAAGATCCCGCCGCGGCCGGACCTCCCAACCTCCCACCGATCCTGACTGGCGGTGTCTCCGTGGCCCCGGCTCACGCCTGCGGCGGCCACCTTCAGGATACGGTTGATGTAGTTTTCCAGGGCGGACGTCATGCTGCTCTGCCCGGCAGTTCCGGGTAACAGAGTGGCGCCGGCAGCAGGCAAAACTGAATGGGCGCGCCAGTACCCTGCTGTGCCTTGCGTTTGCCGGGCCGCGGCAAATGTCGCGAGAGTTGCTTCCGCGCAGCTGCCGCGAATCGGAAATTGTAATGAACTGGCCAATGAAACGGAAGCCGTACAGCGGCGAAGGTAGTGGGCGGGTACGCAGTGTGCTTTCGCTATAGTTCCGGGCCGTGTTCCGGAAACCGCGCGAGACAAAAGGGAGCGAGAGGCGGACAAAACCGAGCGAGAGGCGGAAAAAGGAAGAAGCGTCCTAAAGGTGGCGTGAGAGAGAGAGGGTGAGAGGGTGAGAGGGTGGGTTTTCTATCTGAGTAAAAGTCAGTGTGGTGGAAGTTAATAAGTAAGAATACTGAGACGAGGCAGCGCAGACAGGAAGAAACGGGATGAGGTGTTTTCATTAGGAGTGAAGGAGGAGAAGAGACAAGTACTGTTGTGTGAAATGCAGTTGCGGGTAGGGGAACCTCTAGTTTTCTGCAGCAGGAGACAAAAATAATACTAAAAATAAGTTGCGCATGTTATAACCACACAGTGTAAATCAACAATGAAAAGCACGTTCGTATGTTCTGCTTTTGTTTCTAAAAGTATTCCCAAATAGAGGTGCTGTTACTTTTTAAAGAAACTAAATGCAAATAGATAAAGGTGTGTGATCATCCCTTAGAAAACGAATATCCGCGCTTCTACCATGCCGCGATGGTCTACCCTTCCCTAGGGTTAAATTAGTAAGTAAAAGACTTCTGCAGCACCAAGAAAGGACTGATGTAGAAAAGTACCAAACTTGCTGCTTATCTTGGCTCTGCTAGCAAATTGGTGTCATTGCACGAGTCACATCAACTGTTGGGCCTCAGTTTCCCTAGATGCTGCCATAGGTATCATTTAAGATATTTCCAGACATGATACTAGAAAATGCCACTGTGCCTACGTTATTTACTGTGGTGCCCTAATTTGAGAGAGCTGGAAGTTAGAAAAAGATTTATACATAAAACACCAGCAGGAGTGATTTCTTTTTTTTTTTTTTTTTTTTTTTTTTTTTTTTTTTTTTT